CAAATTTCTTATCATTAAAGGACATATCTATTTGGGCTTACTTATAGACTTGACATTCCAAACAATACTTAGTGTTAGTATTAACATTTTCTTAAACCATACGCAAATTATTCTTGGGCCAAGGATAACCTGTAAAGCATTCAGTCGCATCTAATAGTGATATAAACTGGCTATAGCCAATTACAATTGCTTGAAAACAACTGTATAGAGATCATAACGCTTGGTGTATTCTTAGCATATTTTTAAAAGAATAATACTGTGCATTGAGACTACTTTGACCCTGGTAGTCTAAGTAGTCTCACTGGTAGTGACACTGGTAGTTTGAAAGGTCTACCACCTGCCAGGTCAGCAAAAATTTAAGTTGAAACACTGCAGTGCATCACTACACCTATATAAGCAGGGCCCTTCAACTCCCAGCTAAACAGGATTCAAACAGGAAAACAGAACAAAACAATGCAGGACTAAGCCACTTAGGAACCTCTACTAAACCTGTTTTTAATAAAACATGCAGTGGATCACTGTTGTGGAAATACTAATGATACCCATGATAGGCTCAAAATAGCTTATTGTGATGTGACATCATAATACAATGTGATATCGTCATTGTATACAGATGTATACTGTTATTTTAACAAAAATGAAAGTGTTATCAAGACATCAAGAACAGACAAAATAAGTGTGTTGAACAGCAAGCAAATTATAGCTCAAAAATAATACACATGACTCACAAATGACTAATATCTGACTTAACGCCCAAATGACTCATGCCCTGTCTGTCTGCCATAGTTCAGCAGGTTGATGGTGATGCAGCTGTGATCTGACTGCACCTGTTTAATTAAGGCCAGAAATACAAAAGCCATTAAGGTCATTTTTGTCTAAAATAATTAATGGTGAGCTGATCCACCTTTAATGAGATTGCTAAGATTGTTAATGATTTGAACATACTAGATGCTTTAAAGCAGATTCAGCCCCGCAATAAACTGCAGCTCCGAGCTCTTCCCTAAAAAGCAGCCCCACATAAAAACACCACCCACACAACAGATAAACAGGGCTGGAGTACTTTGGGTTTCCACTGAAGGTAATCCACTTTATCAGTAAAGGTATGTGTCTTTGCCACAAATTACCCAGTGAATGGGTCAGATCACAGGAATTCTAAAGATAAGCACTATGAAAAAACTACAAACAGCTTTCGTCCGACAGTGACAAATACCTGACATGGCTTTACACCTGCTCAGCCTTGCCCACAGTACACATGATCTGGCAGCGTGCTCAGGATATACAACAGAGAATAGGCACAGAAGAGGATACAGACAAAGTTATGTAAGAGGGCTGATCTATTGATTAACTCAAATGGTCAATTTGGAAAAATATAAATAAACAAAAGATTAATATTTACCTTCTAATTGAATCAACGATGATCAGATGAAAACATATGACAACATATTTTTGATTCTCCATTTGAGCTCTGGACCTTTCAAACACCTGATGGTCACTGGGTTTTATATATATATATATATATATATATATATATATATATAATATATATATTATATATAATATACACACACACACAAATGTATACTTGATGTAAAAGATGACTAACGAGGAAGAAAAGGCGCCTCCAAAACATTGACAAAATAAACTTTAGTTCTTTCCCAGGGGAAAAGATAGAATGTTTTCATGCCACTGGCTGAAAGTTCTCCAGCGAAACATGCCATTAATGAAATGGGACGTAAAGAAATCCTGTTTAACATGCTGCTGACTCTGGCCAGTTCAAGTGGCATATATGCTGTTAGTGTGTGGAACAGTTTAACTGAGTGCTTAAGTGCTTTCTCAATGCAATACATGTTTGTCTTGGGACATTTTGCAAAATCTGTTGGGCAGCTACCCAGCTTGCAGTGATCACTAAATATTCAACTACGGTCCACAGGTGGGTAATCCAGGTCTGGAAAGTAAAAACCCTCCCCAGGATTTTGTTCCAACTGTTTGAGCAAACCAGAGAGGCAAGGCAGTTGGAACCAATAGCTGGGGAGGATTTTTACTGTTTGGACCTGGATTACCCACCTCTACTACAGACTAGCAGTGCAATTACCTAGATCAGGGGTTCCCACTCTGGCCCTCAGAGCCACCCAGACAGTCCACATTTTTGCTTCAACTAGAGGCGGGGGATGGCAAAAATATAATACTGCAATACTGCAAAAAATTTTCATGATACATGACACGTCACAATAGTTTTTCAGACATCTGATCATTTGGAACAGAGAAAAAAGGAACCAGTAGTGCTATATTTTTAAAAATACTATCAAAAACTGTGAACACGATGTTTATCCAATATTTCACACACTGTGTTGCATTAAATCAAGTTTTACTCTCTTTCTCCTTATAAGGAAACAGGCTGTTGGTCAGTGTTTTACAAGTACAGATGATATCCATGATATATTCAGAAAAGCATATTGTATTGGGACATAATTTATCATGATAATGACATTTATTGTCATGTTGCCCAGCCCAAGCTCCAACAGATGAGGAGGAAAAACGTTGACCATCCAGGGAACCCTGAGGACCATTTTAGGAACGACTGATCTAGGAAATATGCTTTAAAAATATAGCCAGCTATATTTATTTGAAGAAAAGTGACTTGTAGAGGGGAACATTCTGTGGAATGGCATGAGGCACCTTCCACTGGCACAGAGGAAAATTACATTTTACATGCCTCTCGCTCATGCTGGCTCAAGCAGCATATGCCAGTAAAGAATGGAACGTTCCACCAGTTTCAGCAACCTACTAGCGAGTCACTGCCACTGGAGAGTGATTTCTCTGGCAGAAAATGCTGATTATAGCCAGGTAGGCTTTAAAGACAAAATCGGTTAGGTTTGATCACAACAAAAAATAAAAGCCAGATTGTTCTGTCTGATCTTGGAATGGAATCTATGGTTTATTCCAAATATGTGATATACCAATACAGTTAAATACATGAGAGAAAACAGCAGAATTCATGGAAAGTTCACTTACTATACAGCTACTGCAACTAATAGCTCAGCAAATAGAAAGGCATCTCATTAGCTGGTGAGTCTTTTTTCCATTAAAGTGTTTTGGAATCTTTGAAAGGCTATGCATGGCTTGATATTGTTCAGTTTATCCATTTTTATTGTTTATGTTTTACAAACTCTAGCAATAGTCATAAGAATACTCGATTACTAAATGAATCTATAGTTACACCCCGATTATGTAATCAGTAGCAAAACAAGCACATACACAGATACCACCCTGAGGAGAATAAATGGATTAACAGCCACGAAACAAGAACACAGTTGCTAACCAACAACGCTATGACCTCAGACGAACTCAAGGACACAAAAAGACAACAACAGGTACACTCTGGTGCTTTTAGGGCAAAACAGAACCAGTCCTGACATGTGACTGCAGCAATGACACGACTGTGACATGAATGCTGAGATAAGCAGGTGAGGAACCAGAACGACAAGCAGCGCAGGGAAGTCTAACGGCCAGGCAGAAACTACAGAGCAGCACAACAATGTGCACCACAATGCAATAAACAAACTTCAGATAGCTGTGTCTCACTGCTGCTTTAAAAACATCACCACCACCTAACAGCACTGCTGCACATTACTGAAGAATATCAGGCCTAGACAGCACAGCACACTACCACTGACCATTATCAGTAAAATCTGCTGCTGCTTTGTATTAGGCCCACTATCAACAGTCTCATCTGAGATACAGGAGCTTAACGCAGACCATACAACACTTTAAGATAAAGAGACAAGGTTTCAGATACACACACATAATCCTTTAAGAGACTTCAGCCCTGACCAAACTGGAAACAATCTTAAGAGCCCACATGTGATGCAAATGGCTGAGCAGGCTGCTGCTTATGATTCTTTAGCAATATTATTTTATCAATACATCTATACATCTGATTCTTTTCATGACAAAAACTATAGGAAAGCTTAAAATGTACCTAATTAAATGTTTCCAACAGTATTTAATTCTTGTTTCAAGAATTCAAGCAGGATCTTCAATTACACTAACTGCTAAACAGACAAAGCCATATTGTAGCTTTTGACAAACTGAAAGCTTCCTCAACAAAACATGACCATGGGTGATTTCACAGTTATACAAAAAAATTGTTATATGAAACAAAGGACAAGGTAATTATTAGCCTTTTAGCATAAAAACCTATAATAATCACAAAAACAAAAGTTCGCTTCCAAGTTCTAAGCACAAGTATGTTTAATTTTCTCCAGTTTAAGCAGGCTTTTCTGTGGCATTACCACTTAACTTGCTGCAACAGGTCTACAAAGAATATGCAAATCAACGTACTGACATGACCAAAGTACAGCAAGAAAAGACAAGGCAAGTTTATTTGTATAACATCTTTCATTTACAGTGGCAGCTCAAAGTGCTCTATACAAACAGAAATATAAAAGCACTACATAATATAACACTCCTGAGCTTATAGCATTCCTGAGATCCTGAGCGTGTCCTTGGGATACTCATGCTAGCAAACTTTCAAAAACCTCCAAAGAGATGATACAGTTTGGGAGAACATTTATATGTCATATGAATTCAGAAGCTAAAGATAAAAGATAATGAAATACCGAATACAATAATATAAGGGATTAAAAGAAATTAAAATGTAACTGTTAACGAACAACTTGTAGCAGCCCTAGCTGCATATATTATACATGAAGTAGCTGATAATTAGGGAACCAAAAGAAAAAAGTAATAATATTGGACAATACCTAAAGTTCATAATATATTTTAAGGGATTTGATCCCCTGAACAGACGGTACTTACTTGTACCACCCTTCTCCTGTTGTCTCCTCTAAACATGGCAAACACAAATGCACGCCTACATTCAATTTAAAAGTACAGAAAAAGACTGTACACTTTGCTAAAAAAAAGTGAGGTGCATGAAAAAAAGAACACTTTTGCACAGATGCAATTTCAATCTACCCCCAGTTTCAGGTGAGACTTACTTATCACACAGTGGCCCGACAGCTCCGTACGAGTCGCAGCCACATGGCTGGCAGCCGCTGGTGCCATTAGTAAAGTATCCGTCTTCACATACGTCGCACTGGAGCCCTGAGTATCCTGCCACACACAAACACCGGCCGGTCACTGGGTCACAGCTGAGAGGGTCCACCGTGCCCTCTGCACTGCAGTTACACTGAGGCCCTGAAAAAGAAAGGACGATGGACAGACAGACAGATTGAAAGAGCTCTTCAGAAGTTGTTATATTTCTACAACAAACAAACGTACAATCGTTCATCTTTTTTTTTATCTTGCAGAAGAAGCTATTCACCATCGTGAAACTCTAAAGTACAGTGAACATTGTGAAGCCCTCAAAACAAAAAATCTCTATGTCTTTTCCTTTGATATCTTGGCCTTACTGTGTTATATTTCCCTGCAATTCCGTAGCTAATTACAATTCATTTACTAGCACACTGCACTTATATGCGTTATAATGTGAACTCTATCTATGGGTACTGTGCCAAAGTCACCTGAGCACATTATTTACAACCATTTATCTGGGCAATAAATGTATTTTTTAAAACAAGTGCAATAAACATACATTCAGTAACATATTTAATATTTAACAAAGTTTTGCTAAGACAAACCAGGAATTAAATGATGACTACAAATAATACAGGGCTTTAATAATGAGAGGTTTAGAACTGGTTGAACACACTAACATACATAAGATAACTACTTGCTGCAGTAATATTATTCACATTTACTGTAAATTATTGTTTCTTTTTTTGAGCACATAAATATTTCCTGCACAGTTTTTCAAATGTAATTTTCCTCAGGTGCCAAAAACAGGAGAAAAATGGTGATAAAATCAAAGACTTCACAAATCATTTTAAATGTCAATAATACTGAAAAATAGCAAATGCTGTTTGTTCCCTTCTCTCTTGGGTGGTAGTTAGCACAGATGCACATCGATTCAAACAGTTTGAGCAGCAGCAGATGAACAGTGGAAATGTCAGTCACATGGAATTCTTTCACAATTTCCCCAAGTGACATTTACATGAGTGGTTTGTAACTCTGTTCATGACAAATATCAAGAGGCGGTACAAAGCCTAATGACTTTTTCACTACAGGTTTGAAATCACTCAAAAATGACTTGATATACACAGAATACAGCCAAGCAATGGAGGCCAAGCAAAAGAAGTCCATGCTAGCACACAGCTTTAAAATAAACACACAAAGTATAACTCTAATGGAAATAATGGAATTCATTTCCTTGGATGGCCAACTGCTCTCTGTTGTCTAGCCTGAGGATTTCAAGGCACATTTAAGTATACTATTATTTTTTTTTTTTTTAGTTTTGTTTTTTGTGTTTTTTTTCTGCTGATCAAATAGTCAATGCATGCCCATCCTTAAAACAGAGAAAGTGAAGGTATAATCTCAGGGGGACCTACTGTAAAAGCCTTGGGCAAACCACAGACCACCCTGCTAAGTCGGAGTACTTTTGAGGATAAAACTGCACAAGCACAAGGTCACCTAAAAACACAAATCACCTTTCTTTTGAGTTGAGGAGCAGGCAGGGAGTGTGCAGGCAAAACTTCAGCTAAAACAGAAGTGACCTTGGAAGAAAAGGTCTACTCCTTTTGCTCAGAGATAGCACAGGCACAGCGCAAACTCATTTGACTCCCTGCAGAAAGCCTGACTGCCTCATCCGAATGGTGCACAGAGGTTAGACGCAAACTGCTTTCTGTCAAGCAGCAGGACATCTATTAAAAGCAAAAAAAAGTATTGATGTGAGAAAGACATGGCTTTTTTCTTTGTAAAGTGAAAGGAAAAAGCAAAAATAAATAAATAAAAACACAAACGGCATCAACTGCTAATGAATGCTCCCTCATGGAGTGGGATATTTTGTAGCCGGCAGGGGGTCTGCGCTTCCTACGGTGCGTGGCACAGAGCGGAAAATAAAACTCAGTACACAGTGCAAAGCATGATGAGGAACAGCATGTTCTACAGTCTCTTCAGCATGTCCAACTCCCATATGAAGTGTTGTTACAAAAGGAAAAGGCACATGGTGCCCTTAACTGTACAGTACACTACATGGCCAAAAGTTTGTGGACACCTCACCAAAACACCTATTTGAGCTTGTAGGACATCCCAGTTCAAAACTATGGCCATTAATATGGGGTTGCCATGCCGTGCAGCTATAACACCCCCGCTCTTCTGGGACGACTTTCCACAAGATTTTGGAGCATGTCTGTGCCCATTCAGTCAAAAGTGTTTTGGTGAGGTCAGGCATTGATGTTGAATGAGAAGGCCTGGCTAGCGATCGACATTCTAATTCGTCCCAAAGGTGTTTTGTGGTGTTGAGGTCAGGACTCTGTGCAGCTACTGGAGTTCCTCCACACCAAACGCATCAAACCATGTGTTTACAGACATCAATTTCTGCACATGGGACACAAGTCATGCTGGAACAGGAAAGGGTCTTCCCCAAACTGTTTCCACAAAGGCACTTAATCGCCTAAAACGTCTTTGTATGCAGGAACTAGGGGCCCAAACCCTGAAAAAAAGCCCCAGATCATTATCCCTCCTCAACCAAACTTAACTGTTGGCACCACGCATTCTGGTACGAAGTGCAATTCATCACTCCAGAGAACACATTTGACTTCTCAACTTGTCAAGTCCAGTATCTGCTGATACATCACCAATATTTAATAGCTTGTGTTATACTCTGATGAACAGACACCTCACTTTACTGACAGTTACCACTTGCTTTTGTCTATTACACCAATACAAGCTGGACAGCTAAACTTGATATTAGTTTGTTATTTTTAGCTCTTTGGTATTGGTCACAAATTTGGTTTCGGTATTGGTTCATATCTGCCTTTGGTGGGGTTTTTCCACCACTAGACAAACTGTTCTTTCCTTTCTACACTGGAGACTTTTCTCCAACACAGTGGATTACAGGGAAAAAGCCAGATTGCCTCATCACACCATTCTCACCTGTACAGTGCAGATAATGATTTATCAATGCCTTAGAGGCACACATACAAATCTCAGGGGTTTTGCAGCAGCTGATAGATGATTACCTTCTGGCCATGTTTAGTTCTTCCTGCCTAGTCTAGCCCCCAGTTCAACAAATTACCTTTTTTTCTTTCCTCAGTGCACCAAACCAGCAGTGTGGTTTATCAAAGAGTATTGAATTTGGCCCTCTATTATCATTACAGCTGGTATGTGTATTACTGGTGTTACGGCAGGCTCTCTGAGAGGTTGTACTGTAGCAATTTAAGAATCGATGCGCTCAGCTGCATTTCTGCCAGGGTCACACACTGGGAGTCAGCAAATTTACTCTTCACTGCTGAAACTCTCAGCAAAAACAAAGAGACCTAATTAAGCTAACATTCATGCCAGTGCTTAGTGAGGGTAGACGGCATACTGGCGTAAAACTCACGATAAGGATTTTACCATATCATGAATAAATCACATACAGATTTGCCTGCACATACTAAACATGAGCAGCTTAATTAATTTTTATAAACTCAGCACTAAGCATAGCATATCATTGACAACTATTTACAATTCTGGCAAATTTTTTTGACTGATAACCAACCATCATTAACCAGTGATTAATCGTTAACCGGCAAGACTAAGATCAAGGACAAAACTCATCAAAAATCAATTATAAAACAGAACAGCTCTGATTCTGAAATCTGATTGAAAGTCTTTAAAAAATACTTGATATATGTACACTTATGAGTGCAAACATCGACAGAGTTCTGCATTAATAATATCTAAAAGTGTTCCTTGTAAGGACTGTGTGAACTTGTCCTGATAGGTGGGGCCAGGCATAAACAGTGTATTAAGTAAATGGCTCAATGGCATTTCTTTTAATCACTGGCATCCATAACAGAACATATATAATATGGTTATTATATTATGAAAAGTTGATGAAGCAACTAGAATATATGACGATGGGCTACTGAAAGTTTAATATTCTAAAGCAAATATAAAAGTCATGACCAGGGCTAGCATTAACCTAATGCACTTCGGTAGTTCTGGTAGCTGTTGCTGTCCACCATGTCCATTTTGCACACCCATGTGCATCACACTTTCTCTGGGAGAAGAAAGACTGTTGTCTGTAGACGTTAGATTTTGATGTGGTGCACCGTTGCCAGTGTACTATCAATCTCATGGGAAGTGGTTGCGAACACCACTATTTTTAGCTGCACACTTATCCATCTAGGAGAATTGCCTTTTGTACCTTCATGGTACAATTCAAAAATATTCCTCAACTTTAATGAAAAACATGCTCATTCAAATAGGAACTGACATTTTTTGGAAATTAAAATAACTTTTTTTTTTAAACAAATTATATTTATCAAGCAATTATTTGTCAGTCAATGGTTAATTAGTTCATCATTTACATCACTAGTTAGTCTACATTAAGCACTAGTTTTGAGAGGTAATTATTAACACATTAATAAGAATGATGATAATAATTAAGAAGAAGAATGATAATGTAGCACTACTATGGTTATTTTGTATTTTGCAATATCATGTCAACATAAACAAAATGTCATGAGTTCGTATCACTGACCCCTGCATCTCAGAGGTACTGGTAACTTGCTGCCTTGCCTCTATCCAGCTCTGCTCTCAGCTGCCTTTGTCTGTGTGGTCTATTGGATGCATACTGTGTAGTCATGGGGAACGGACTGCAGTTGGGTCTCTTCTCTCCACAGATGGAGCAGGTGGTTTCTCTTGTAGGAGACCAACACATGCAGTGATAAGCTTCTCCTCAGTATGGGCCAGTGACAGTGAGAGAGAAGGAGGGGCTGGAGGAAAGACATCGACATACTAAAAGAAAAAGGGAGGCATTTGTGGATATAAAGAAGCTGGAAGCAAATTAGGAAGGTGCATAAAGTTAGCTGTTTTGCTTGGTTGGGAGGTGAAAAGGAAAAAGAACTGATGAAGCGGCACTCAAGGGGATGATTTTACTGCGGTTTAATTTAAACACACAGCCACTTGGAACTGAGAATGCAACTTGAGAACGCCAGCTGGCACGATTTGTACCGGAGCTACAAATTAAACACCATCCACGGTGATGGTAAAGTGATGGTGACGTATAGGGATGGACGGCAAAAACACAAATTCAGGATACTTGGCATAAATAAAATAAATATTCTTGTCATTTGACCAGGGCTGCACAA